ACTGAGAGCAGTAAGGGGTCCAGCACAGTGAGTCTCAACCTCTTTCACCTCCTGGCACACATACACTAAAATTCTGCAGCACAACAGAAAATATATTTTTCCCTGGTCTGACAAAAAAAAAAGGTATAATTTTGATTCATTCACGCGGGCCAGCTACTGTTGTATTGGCTGTTGTCATTTTCTTTGGGTTGTCATTTTTTTTATTTGACAATCTAAGGGAAAAGAGGTGAGTGCCCATGACTAAATAGTCAGGTATCACATGTTTTAAAAATTCTTGCAGCACAGTGGTTAAAAACTGCTGGTCTAGCATACAAATTTTCCCAGAGTTCATGCTCAGTTCTACTTATTAAAAAAAAAAAAGTGAAGAAAAACAAAGGTGATTACAACTGTCAGTGAGTTTTGGAAAGGCCACAGGACTCTAACTGGTAGAGCGGGGATTTGACTGAGACAGTGAGGTTAACTCTCCCTGTTTTGAGAGAGATCAAGATATCTGCTGATGTTGTTTTTAGGAAGACCAAGATCCAAGCAATAGTCATGGCTAGGGTCCTAGCATTGCACAGACACACAGGGTGTGGGAAGGGATCTAATGGAGCTTGATTACACAGACGAAATAGAAAAGAGTCCATCTAAAAGGCACTCCGAGAAGCTTTTTGGGGACTTTGCTGTGGTTCTTTTTGTTAAAACATAAACTCAGAAGTGGCTGGGAACGAATGACGGTGATTTAAAGGAACAGTGTGAAGATAACAAATGTCTTGTTCTTGGGGTCATACCATCTGGAAAAGCTACGGCATGCAGAGACAACAAAGTAAAATGCTCTTCCTGAACTTTAATTTGCTCATTTCCAAGCTCTATTTCCTCCATGGAACATATGTCCTAGGTCTGAGGGGAACACTGAAGACTGAACATTGAAGACAGAGGGGAATTTTGAAAAGTCTCTTACATTTCTCCAAAATTATCCTCTATTCCAGATCCACACTTCCTTGAGGGAGCGATTCTCTGTCTTCTTTGAAGACTTGTACCCTAAAGTTGAAATGGCAGCCAGACAACAAAAAAACTATGGCCTTGGCCCTTAATTTTAAGGAAATAGTATTCTGAGAAAACTTCTGTTTTGCTGCCCACGTCACCAAGCCTCTCCCTTCATTTTGCTAGCTGACACTTGCCAGGAAAAAAGTGATAGTAATGTCTGCCTTAAAACCAGTAACTAGCTTTCCCAAAGACCACCTAAGCCTCCTGACAAATATCCTCTCACAAAGAAGGGGCTGTAATTTGCACTTCCTCAACAACCAGGGAAGAGCATCTCTTAATTTGGGGGGCGGAGAGATGAAAGCATCAACCCTTTAAAAACCAGCCGTTTAACTGCTCTGATGATCAACCCTGACAGCAGGACAAGCGTTCAGGTGAAGCCTTGCCCTTGGCCCAGCCCTGGTGTAGCTACGCCGCTTCACAGAGCTGTCCCTTAAAGTAGGGCCCTCACCAGGAAACTGAAGTTCTTTCCATTCCTTCCTGCTCTTTTTCCTTGTGTGACTTTTGTCATGGTACTTAATCTATTTGGGCCAATCTCACAAACTGTAAAATGAGGGGTAGAACTAGAATTAAGACAAAGGTGAATAAGAACAATCTCCAAATCACTGTCATGGTTTCCCAGAGTTTAATGGCTCTTGGAAGCTCTATCTAGGGTGGACTCTGCCTCACTTTAAGTCCTCAGAATGAGTCGAATATAAGACATCATGGGCAGAGAATGATAGCTATACCCAAAATTACGGAAAGAAGGGTTTGCTTTCATTGTGGAATCTATTCCATTATTTTAAATATATATTCAATATAAATTAAAGGTCAGAGGTGAATAGACTGTGCTTTAAGTAAGTTTGGAACACAGATGCCATCTAGTCTTTGCACTCTGCAAAATTCTTCTTTAAGTGAATAAATGTGTAGGCTAACTCTCCATTACCTTGATCAGCATCTAATACCAACCTGACACTTAGAATTAAATTAGAGAAACAAAATTGGATACTTTGGGACTTGAGGGCTGATTATACTACTGGAGCTAAGAGTGGATTTAAACCCTTTCCTTATCCCATTTCAATCTAACTAGATATACACTCTCCATTACTGAGGAACAGAGGTGTGTCTGCAGAGGCGGAGGTTCCCCTTGATGTTCTTGGACAAGGAAACCTAATCCTTTCTTCTGACACACATGGTTGCAATAGAAAGCGTTCTCCAACTGCCAGTCTGGTTTTAATCTATTGTTGCAAGCAGGGCAGGATTTGCAGGGAATGTGAAGAAAAGAGCAAAATTACCAGCACTTACTATAAAATAAAAGTGTTGATGAGAAACCCAATTTTAAACAAGTGTTCAAAATCGTAAGCATGAACACAAGTGTATGACTATAAACGTTTTTAATTGTAAGTCTATCTACAGTCTGCCTCCAATACAACATTTGTATCTCATTTTACTAAAATTCTTTGGCTTACCAAAGGATAGCAGTGGTAAAACACAGCAGTAAATACAGTGGCGCTTCATTTGAACAACACTGCTGGACAATGAAATACTCCATCAGGGAACTTCAGACGTAACCAGATTCACTCTACATTACATAAACTCCTAAATGCTAACTAGTTTGTAGGGAAACATTTCAAAAGTGTATTTTATAATTCTTCTTAGAAGATGCATTGAATAACAAACATCTCTTCCTGACGATTCAGGATTAGCATTTAAAGTCCTTATTAAAATAAGCTGAATATACTGTACTTCTTAAAGGAGCACAAGATGGTGAGCTTGAACAATGGCGAGCTCTTTGGTGATATTTTCCCCAACACCAAAAGGTTTCGGGATGTTGTAAGAAAGTACCAAAGCAGACAAAACTAGCTTGTTTTTGACAGGTCCAGTGTCTGTTCTGCTGCCAGCTGTCCCTTCTGTGAAAAGCCCTCCAACCTCTGACAGTTATTTGTGTACTTTGTCAAAATAAAATTTAGATTTAAAAGATACACCTACTCTATGTAAAGCACTAGATTACAAACTGGGGGAAGTGTAAGAAATACTGTACAAAATACAGCCCCTGTCCAAGGAGCGACCTTGCTGGCTGGATGACACCTAAGTCATCAGGTCGGCCCTGTCCAGGTAGCGCAGTTAGTTAGAGCGTTGTCCCAATATGCCAAGGTTGTGGGTTCGATCTCCCCTCAGGGCACATACAAGTAACCAATGAATGCATGGGTAGGTAGAACAGCAAGTTGGTATGTCTCTCTCTAAAGAAGATCAATAAATTAAAAATAATAGGTATAAGAGGTACCAGGTCACCACTGTGGTAGGAAACACAAATGTATCCTTTCAAATTTACTTCTAAGTTTGGAAATAATTTACTTAAAAATACAGATATTGAAATGATTACACTGTGTTCTGATACACCTTCTTCAATAGGAGTGTGTCTCCCATGAAATGATCAGTCATGTGAGTCTTAGCAGATAAAAGACTGAAATTACTGTTTGAGGAATAAAGTAGGCAGGCCCTTTGACAGCTATCTGCTGTAACCCTCATCTTATTTTTAGGCTTTTACAATCCAGATGGTGTAGGATGTCATAAATCTAATCTTACTAATTCCTAAGGTCACTGAATCTAATTAATAACATCTGTAAAACAAACTGTATTTTAATGTTTTGCTGTATGAGTACAAATATTTAGGCATTTTATAAAACAACACATTTACAAGAGATACTTGTATATCCACTGGCAAAATCTCTTTCCTGGGTCTCAATATTACATTTCAGGGATTTTAAAGTATCTTTTGCCTACTCCTTTTAATTTCCATCATCCAGCTGTCCACGTTTATTCCACAAACACTACCTGGCAGTCTCGAAGGCTTCCTTGGTTTCGATTACCTTCTATTTTGTAGGTCAGACCTCTCCCCCAACTCCAGACCTATATATCTAATGGGCGTCACATTTGGGAGTACTATAAGCACCTCAAATTTAACAGAGACAAAAACAAACTGATCAGTTTTGTTGAAAAATGAGACTTGATTTCCTTAGATGCTTTTTTTTTTGCCGTCATCCCTACAATTCTTTTCCTGCTTATATTACACCAATTATGCTTGCGCTTCAGCAGTACTTTGTACCGCTCTGAGATTTTAATGTATGGTTTTGATTTATAAATTTTGACTTAACCTATTAGATTTCAGTTCCTTTAAGAGTATGGACATCCTTATTCCATTTGTCTCCTCTCACTCTCTATGGAAATGTGGTTATTTTTAGTATTCGTTCAATGGATAAATACAACAGAACACACAAAGGAATTCCGATGAATCTCTTCGTTGTGCTTTTACTGATCCGTATCTTACACATTTGAGAGCTTTGGGGGTGCATTAACAAATGAGGGAATAGTGTTTTCTCATAATTTAACCCAAAACAAACCAATTCCCTCCCCTGGACAAGAAGTACAACCACAACCACCCTTCCTCTCCAGTCTTGGTGTGTGCTTCTAAAACACCTAAAGCACTGCATCATTTATTTATCTACTACCCCATTAGGCCATGCACTTCTTGGAAGGAACACGTCTGTACCTCCAGGGCCTAGTGTCTGCAGAACGGATGAACTGAGGCCACACTGGTCTCAAGAGAGCACTTACTGCTCTCCAATGGGACTGCGAAGGCCCCACTCGTGCAAAAATTTCTTTAAAGCAGACTCTGAATAACTAGATCTGAAAAGCAACTTCCTCGACTTTCTTCCGGTCTAAAACGCCGCTACTGATATCCCCGAAGGAGCCTCTCTCCCTTCAGGAAGCCTGAGCAAAGACTAGGTCTCCAACGGATACACTGCAGTCAAGCCCCACCCCGTTCCTGTCCCCACCTGCTCTGCAAACGCCGGACTGGCGCCCCCCACGCTCCGATCCCTGCAGCTGCTAAAAGGCCCGAGCCCGTGGCTACCGCGCAGGCGCAGTAAGCAAAAGGGCAGAGAATCTGCGAGCAGACTGGCTCTCCGAGCACACGTCACTGAAGACAGAAGGCTCCGCCCTCCTCAAGATGGCGCTGCACTCAACGCGGAAGACGCGTGGGTACTGGAGCTTCATCCGGGCACTTCACAAAGGACCCGAAGCTGCCCCTGCTCCCCAGGTAATCAACGCTGGCCCTTCTCCCATCCTGCTAGGTCCTTCTCGTCTCTCCTCCCTCCTTCCACTTGCTTATCTCTTTCGGTTTCTTCTGCAGAGTACCGGGCCGTCACTCTCTTAACGTGGACTCGTTTAAGACTACCCTTCAGCCCGGAACGTGGCGACTTTGTGAGAGTGCGTGATAACGTAACGCGCCCCTTGTGGGAGGAGCGCACCACCGCCAGCCCATTCGGGCCGCCCACCTTCTTATGATCCAAATGCTGTGTTATGATCCTCATCCTAACAGCAACCCTAGGGCCCGCAGAGAAACTAGCGAAGACGTCTTGTTAGGAATCGGGAGGTTTAAACTGGTGCAGCCGCTGACGTCCTCCCTGTGGCAGTGCATTTTCCATTTTGGTTCCCCCTATTTACTCCAAAGTAGATCTGCCGAAGTGCGCCGTCCTGACCCTTGCACTGCTGTTACCGTCATTCTGTTGTGCTGAGAGCTTGACAAGGCCTTCACTCTGTCCTTCGCTGCTTAGAATTTTACGCTATGGCAAAAGACAAGTGTGTGTGTTTCATCCAGTCAGGCATTTACGTGTAATCTCAGTGGTAGGCATTTGCCATGCATCACTTGGGAGCTCTCTAATGAATGAGCAGGAAAAAGATTTAAAATTCTGTGATTACTGGGTGGCTTCGTGGCACCTTTGCATATTCGTTGTTGTATTGTGTAGGTGTGAAGATTTTGTACGGTAAGTGGTATCTTGGTATCTTGGAAAGAGCATTAGACTGGAAGTTAGGAAACCAGAGGTAGATTTGCCAGCCACTTGCTAACTGTGTGACATGACAAGTCACTTAATCTCACAGGGTTTATTCTCTAGCAAAATGGGTGGAGGGAGGGTTGGACTGGTTGACACTTTTATGTTATTTCAGACTTTGGAAAAACCTATGGCTTCATGATTATGAATCAAAATACAGCGATGGGATTATGAAGACCAAGATTTAAGTTCAACTTGTTTTTCTAATCATCCCATAAATCACTTAACGTTCTGTACCTAAGTTTCTTCATTGATACGAGCCCAACAAGATTCTTGTAAGGATGAAGGATATTATACTGAAAAGCTCTTCATCAACAAAAGAGCTTTTTAAATGTTATTTTAAATTTCAGGCAGCAGTGTTAGGGCAGAATTGATTCAAATTAGATAAATCCATCAAATACTCCCCTCTTTGAAACTTGGGGGTCTGATTCTACAGAACCAGAATTGGTTGATTACTATATTTATAGCCAATAGCAGTGTGTTAAAAACCTATGGTATCAAAATAACTAAGCCTTAGACCCCAACTTCCTCTCACTAACCTCAAAAGCTAAGGATGTCATGACAAGTAGAGAATCAAAGAGAAAAGTAAGGAAAAGAAAGTAGATAGACCCTCTAATGATTGCCCAGGGAGCGTAAGGGGACTAAAACATTACCAGTGTTAAACAAAAAATGTTTTAATCATCAATTGTTTCAGTGGCATTTACAAATATGGTTACCTAAAAGTCAATCAGCTGTTCTAGATTATTTCAAGATGTAGAATTTCCAGAACAGATTAGTATTTCCAAACCTTTGATTTAGCTTTGATTAGAATAAGAATTAAATGTGAGAGCATCTTCTAGAGTATAAGTCTACATACAGTTTTCAGGCATTAAAAATGATGGTTTGAGGGGGGAAGGGGGAGGGGGCAAAAAAAAAAAAATGATGGTTTGAAGTGCTATCACAGTCTTTTGAAAGACCAGTTGAAAAGAGACACAAAATTATTTACAATATTATATTTGTAAATATATATGTTTATATATTATATAATATATTATATATAAACACATATAATATTATATATTATATAATATGTACAATATATACACAATATACTATATATTGTATGTTATAATTTATTATTTATAATAATATAAATATATATATATGCACAGGAAAAAGAAAAGAAAGACTGGAAGGAAACAACCATCTTTTTTCTCTTCATCCTCATGCAAAGATATATTTATTGATTTTAGAAAGAGAGGAAGGGAGAGAGAAACAGTGGCAGAGACAGAGAGAAACATCGACGTGAGAGAGAAACATTGACTGGTTGCATCCTGTACGCACTCCAACCAGGGATTGAACCTGCAACCTAGGCATATGCTCTGACCAGGGATCGAACCCCCAATCTTTTGATGTAGGGAACAGCGTTCCAACCAACTGAGCCACCTGGCCAGGGCCAAGCACTCTTTTTTTGTTTTGCTAGGTTTTCCTGAGCAGTGGATTAAAAATGATTTAAGTTTTCTTCTTTAAGCTTTCCATATTTTTCATATATTCTAAATTGAAGATATATCACTTTTAGACCCAGAATAAAAATTTTAAGTGTAAATCTCCATATAAATCCATAGTCATTAATATCATCTGTGATATCTCACAGAGATACTTGTCCCGCGGTGCTGTTATTAAAATGGCCTTAGAAAATGACGACAAAAAATTTATGGCCACTTTTCCCGTGTGTATCTTCTTTTTCTCTTGAAAAGCTTTCTTTGAAGTCAAAGAGATTTTGTGAACAGATGCAGAAATATGTGAAGGAAGAATTGGATTCTTAAACCAGATGCATTAGACATTTTTATGATATCTCATAACCTTTGTAGAAAACAAAAATTATTTTGCAAGAGAACAGTATAATAGAAAGAAATGTATATTTATCCTATGGGTGATGCTATCCAAAACTAAAAAATAGCCAAGTTGCTTCTTACTAGATTTGGTTGCACAGTTCCTCCCTGACGTGAGAAGCAGAAGCGGAGGAGCCATATCTCCTTTGTTACAAACTCTGATTCCCAGTGGTTTTCTTAAACATGCAAAATCTTGGCTAATAAACATGGCATTTGGGGGCCTTTAATTATCTCAGAGGCAGGCTTTTACCCCTCGAGGCTAAGTATAGACTCAGGTTTAAAATTAAAAAATAGGGAGAAAACAGAAATAACAGAGTATCAAGCAATAGTCATTTTGAGATGCCTATAATTTATATGAAAACGGTTTATTTTGCCAGGTGTTGCCTGACAGAAAGCCGTTGAAGCCTGACAAGATGAGAGTAGTTGCAGAGTCAGAATGAAGGTCTGACATGTTATGTTTAAATGCTGATGGCATTAGGTAAATAAAAGCCTGTCATCATTAGTCAAACACAGAATTCATACTTCTTTAAACACCAGCGTACGCTTTCATTGTGCAAAGAGTGACATACTGATGGTTAGTAGAGTTTTGCCAGAATATGTATAAGCATTCAATTGAAACATAGAATGACCCCATTTTATCACACTTGAACAACATGCTTCGTTATTCGCTGTCCGGTTTGGCTGGTACTAACACACTGTTTCCACTGTTGACGGCCTCTAAGTATAGCCATCAGGTGAACGAATTATGCCTGCAAAAAAGTAGACAATGTATTGAAGTTTTGACTTTGTATTTATTTCTTACAAGAAGGCTTTTTAAAAATTGCTCTTTTGAATTTTTTTTATTTTAAAATAATTTTGGATTTACAAAGTTTGCAAAATTCATATTTATTTATTTATTTTTATTGTGTTTTAATGTTACCATTTATCGCCCTTATACTTTCCTTCCCCCTGCCCTCTGTAATCACCACACTGTTGTCCATGTTCGTGAACCCTTTTTTCTTTTTGCTCAATCCCTCCACCCCTGTGCTGTCATTCTGCTCTCTATTTGTGAGTTCATCTCTGTCTTGCTTGTTAATTCAGTTTGTTCATTAAATTCCACAAACGAGTGAAATCATGTGGTATTTGTCTTTCTCTGACTGGCTTATTTCACTTAGCATAATGTTCTCCAGGTCCCTCTATACTGTTGCAAAGGGTAAAAGTTTCTTCTTTTTTTTTTTATGTCCGAGTAGTATTCTGTTGTGTAAGTGTCCCATAGTTGTTTTAACCACTCATCTACTGATGAACACTTGGATTGCTTCCATAGCTTGGTGACTGTAAATAACGCTGCAGTGAACATAGGGGGGCTTATGTTCTTTCAAATTAGTGTTTTGGGTTTCTTCAGATATGTTCCCAGAAGTGGGAGAGCTGGGTCGAAAGCCAGATCCCTTTTTAATTTTTTGAGGTACCTCCAAACTGCTTTCCACAGTGGTTGCAACAGTCTGCATTTCCACCAGCAATGCAAAGTGGTTTCCCTTTTTCCACATCCTTGCTAGCATTTGTTATTTGTTCATTCATTGATTATAGCCATTCTGACCAGTGTGAGGTGATAACTCATTGTGATTTTAATTTGCATTTCTCTGATGATTAGTGACATTGAGCATGTTTATTGACTAGCTGTATGTCCTCTTTGGAGAAGTGCCTATTCAGGTCCTTTGCCCAACTTTTAATTGAATTGTTTTTTTGGTGTGGAGTTTTATAAGTTCTTTGTAAATTTTGGGTGTTAACCCCTTATCAGATGTATTGGTGAATATGTTCTTCCATTTTCTGGGTTGTCTTTTTATTTTGTTGATGGTTTCCTTTGCTGTGCAAAAATTTTAGTTTGATAAAGTGTCATTTGTTTATTTTTTCTTTGTTTTCTTTTGCCTGAGGAGATAATATTAGATAAAACATTGCTATGAGCAATGTCTGAGATTTCACTGCCTATGTTTTGTTTCAGGATTTTAATGGTTTCAGATCTAACATTTAAGTCTTTAATCCATTTTGAATTTATGTTTGTGTATGATTAGTTTCATTTTTTTGCGTGTACCTGTCCAATTTTCCCAACACAATTTATTGAATAAACTGTCTTTAGCCCATTGTATGCACTTGCTTTGTCTGTAAAATATTAGTTGACTAAAAAGGTGTGGGATTATTTCTGGGCTCTCTATTCTGTTCCATTGATCTATGGATCTGTTTTTATGTAGTATCATCTGTTTTGGTTACCTTGTAATGTAGTTTGATTTGTAGGTAGCATAATTCTTCCAACTTTGTTTTTCTTTCTCAGGATTGCTGTCACTGTGCAGGGCCTTTTGTGTTCC